AAGTACCTGGTGAGAGGCTGTCTGCAGGAGAGAAGTTTTATGAGAATGCTAAAGGGTTGAGTGTGTGCCTCTGTGCTAAAATTAGGTTTACAACATCTATCTCAGTCTAACTACAGAGATAGGCTGGAAGATCCTGTTGAAGGGCTTTACAGCAGGTCCTTTAGAATAAAATGCTGGACATAAGCATTAAAACCAATAGTATATGTTCAAATTTGAGATTATTATAAGCTTTGCCTTTGTGGATTTCCTGAAAGTCTGCAATGCATCAAAATAAGAAAGAAGGAGCAAGATGGGGAAATAGCAAGGAATAAGTTGGATGGAGTGACTAAAGACATGGTCCAAGGGCCACTTGAGTCAATGACTGTGTTTACAGGAGGATTTGGTTCGTATTCTGAATTTTCCACCCAGAATCTGTACAAAAGACCAAGGGGTGATTGCAGTACCAATTTGCAGAGAAGAGTCTGCTCTGTGTAATCTCATTTTAGCACATATTGAATATGTACTGCTCTATGGCAAGGAGCACATTGCAGGCTCCAGCTCACAGCCTGTCTCTGAAACACATAGGGTTTTTTAGATGGAACATTTCAAGGAAAGTATGAAGCATGTGTTTACACACTGACAAACATGTAAGTATTTTTACATAAAGAGAAAAATTACGCCAGTTTGAATTTCTTTGCCTCCAATATTTCAGTTTCAGAGCTCTATCTGTTCTATTCATTCCCATTTGCGGTGTTTTGGGACCTAATAACTATCCTGTTTGATGCAGCTGAAGATCAACAATGGACTAGATCAGGACTATGTAGAATAATATCCAAAGACTGCCTTCAGACTCCTTAAAATTCACTCTGTAGTATTTTACTTCCTTAGGAAACATTAGAAAAAGAAAACTACTAATCTTTCCACATGCATATGCACATGAGATATATTTAAGCATACATGCATTCACACACAGTCATAGAGAGAAAGAGATTAAAGTGAGTTCCAATTACCTTTTCAACTAATGCCCCTTTACATCTCTCTGGCATTGTAAAGAGTCCTTAAAAAGGGAAGATACATAATTTCCATTAACTTAAAGGCCATCTCAGTACTGATGAGAAATGTAAAGGGGCCTTAGAGAAACAGAACCAGCCCACTGCCATATTTCCTTTTCACAGATATTTGCATTACAAACGAGATATCTTAATTACAGGTTGAATTGTTAATAAAACATCACTTTTATGTGATGTAAATATTAAATGCAAAACAAATACCAAACTGTAGAGAAGCAATGGCTGGTATGTTGCAACAAAACCTTAAGGGTAGGTTCTGATACAGCCAGACTGAGTGACACTCAGACCAAACCACTGCTTTTTCCATAGCAGGGCTCAGTGCATTTAGTGCCAAAGTAATTCTTGCTAATTATAAAACCAGTAGAGCTGTTCTAACATTTTGTCCCCTGGTCCACAGTGCAGAGCAGCACAGGCGGCTGAAGGAGCACCTTTTACCCATGTACACTGCCTAATATAATAAAGCCCAGTTGTGTTTTGGGGATGCCAGTCTCAATTTAGAGAAGAAAGAAAAAACAATAGGAAAAAAAGATAAAGCAAACAGCAATTCCAACATCATACACACCTGACTTGATAAAAATGATAGCTTTTTATGTAACATATATGCTCATGAATCCTAATCAAAGTGTATGGCTACATCTTGTCAGACTAAAGGTTCACCTAGCCCATTGGTGAGCTGGATGCTTTGAGAGGAATGTAACACCAGGGTAGATGGACAGAGAGGCTTTCTCAAAACTCTTCCCTAGACCTGAACTTGTGATTCAAGGACTTTCTGCACCAAAGCTTAACAGCTCCTGATTGATTTTCTTCCCACAAAGAGTCATTTTTGAGCATATGTATACTTTTAGAAACATTAGCCCTCTGCTAACTTTTCATCATATCATGGCTGAAATACCTATCTTTGTTTTGAACCTGCTACTTGCTGTTTCCACTTCGTGTCCCCTAGTTCTTGCACTGGGGAGAATGACAGTGGTTCCCTGGTCACCTTGCAAGATGCTCTGCTTCTGAAGATTATCCTGCAATAAATCATGGGAATGTACTGCATTTAATAGGACACTTGTGCCACTGTATATGCTACAGCAGATAGAGCAAGATAAAGAGTGGTTTTCATGATAGTCTGTGCTGGTTTGGGCTGAAGTAGCTTTAACCTTTCCAATAGTGGCTAGTATGGGGCTATGTTTAGGATTTGTTTAGGGTTGATAATATAGAGATGTTTCTGTTGTTGCTAGCAGAGCTCACACAGAGCCAAGGCCTTTGCTGATTCCCATACTGCCACACTGGTGAGGAATTTGGAGGTGCATGGGAGACTGTGAGCAGACCCAGCCAGGACAGGTGACCCAAACTGACCAAAGGGATATTCCATACCATAGGACATCACGCTCAGTATATAAGGAGGGCTGATGAAGGAGGAAGGTGGGGATGTTTGTTTGTCTTCCCAAGGAACCGTTATGCGTGATGGGCCCTGCTCTCCTGGAGGTGCTGAACACCTCCTGCCCATGGGAAGCAGTGAATTAATTCCTTGTTTTGCTATGTTTTTGTGTGCAGCTTTTGCTTTCTCTATTCAACTGTCTTTATCTCAACCCATGAGTTTTTCTAGCTTTTACCCTTCTGATTCTCACCCCCATCTTGCTGGTGGGGGAGTGTGTGGGAGTGGCTGCGTGGGGCTTGGCTGCTGGCTGGGGTTAAACCACAACACAATTCTGTATTTAGGGTCTCATAACTTCAAATCTGAAACTTGTTTTGTGCATTTTATAATAAAAAGGACACAGTCAAGTTTAGAGGGAGCTTACATCATAGACAACTCCTATATTTAGGGTCTCATAACTTCAAATCTGAAACTTGTTTTGTGCATTTTATAATAAAAAGGACACAGTCAAGTTTAGAGGGAGCTTACATCATAGACAACTAATAAAAAACAATGGCTTCTCCTAAGTGACTACTGTTAAGCTATTTGAAGTTTGAGTATTTTTCTTTATAGCAGGGTGCTAACCTTTTGGTGTCTTTTGGCAAATTAGGATTTTTCTTTGTCTAGCTCATTCTTTTCCAGTATCATTTTAAAAAATATAATTCATAAATGGAGGAATGAGTTGCACTTCTTCTTCAGACACAAGCCACAGCACAAACCATATTGCATTCTACTTATCTTGAATAAGAAACAGGCTTGAACAGTTAAGTCATTTTCAGTGTCTGTCAACTAGATACAAGTTGAGTAAAATGAGCCATTTAAAACTTTTAGGACTGCCATTTACAGTAGCAAGAACTTGCATTTGCTGTGCACTGCTCCACAGCATCTTGTTGCCTGGAATAAATCTGTTTCTTAAGGATTTACAGAGCTCTGGAATATGTAGCAACAAGTCTGTGATGGCATCCATGCTCTGAATCCACACCACATGTGGATTCATTAAAATTCTAACCTGCATTCTTAAAGTGTGATGAAGTCGTGTTTTGTTCTGTTGTCTTTTTTTAAATGTCTTGCTCACCTTTTCTCTTCTTATTCTACCCTCTACTCTGTCTTTTGTATCTTGATGTCTCTAATGGTCTTTCTTTTATCACATTCAGTTCACTTGATTGTCTAAAAGCATCTCACTCATGTGGAGGATTTTCTTCCTCCATATGCTTTTGTCCTCTTGACGTGTTTACCTTCTCTCTCTTTCTCTCCCTCTCTCATCCTCACTTGAGTCTCTCTCAGTTAAAGTTTATTTCCAGTTTCTCATCATTCCCCACTCCTTTCAGAACACAGTGGGATGGAAAAATAAGTACTTGGGAAGCTGTGCCTTAGGCTAAATGATATCTATCCAATCTCTGAGTGCTATAGTTAAAAATATGACCATGTGATCATTTTATCCACAGACTAAATGGAAACACTACCAGCCTCAATGACAATATTGATTGCCAATTACCTCTTAGCTGCTAATGTGTACGCGACACTGGCTTTGATTAATTGATTTTCATACAGACAACGTTGCATATTTTAGAAATATTTTTTTTCCTGAAGACAACATAAACTGTTAGATTTCTTTTTATTTCCTTACAGACTATGTAGCCAGAATTGGTACTTGAGCTAGAAATCTCCAGAGACCACATTATACACAAGGAGTTCATATACATCTGTGTATAAACATTTCAGTTAACAGTTTTTTACTTTGGAATTATATGTACTAAGGCATTAACACACACAACGTCTGTGTGTAAACATCCTTGATTTCAACCATTTTCAAAGGGTTTGCTTCATCTGAAAGGTTCTGATTGCAAATTTTATGCAGATACACATAAATGCTGCTGTGTTTGGTTAGGGGAAGTACAGAAAAAAGCCTGCAGTCTCATGGTCTATGTGTACCTTGAAGTATTCACTCTATAGTTTGCAGCACAGCAAAAACTCATAGACCTAAATCCAGCAGCCTTGGCAATTTCATTTCTTCTCCATTATTTGTGCATTAGTATCTACTAGCCACAACTGACATCGCTGAACAAGGCTGAACAAATACACAGCAAGAGACAAGTCCTCCCCCTGGAAAGATTTTGGTCTGTCATACTGAATCAAAAACACAGCACTGTACTGGTTAATAAGAAAAAAATGAACTCTATCCCAGCTGAAACCAGAACAAGGTCTTAGGGTGAGATTTGCAAAATTGCCCAATGGAAAAAGAGCCCAAATCCTCATTTTCAGCTTTGATGTTACCTTTGTTGGGGATTTTTAAGAGGCAAAGTAGACAAAAAAACCCAATAAAACCCAGGAGAAAAATGGGATGAATATGACAGTTTTTCTGGTGAGGAACTGAGGCAGCAAGAGATTAAATGATTTGTACAATGTCCCTCCTGGAATCTGAGCACTGCCTTCAGATTTTCAGAGTCCACCACCCCACACTACTTGCACCACTAACTACAAGTCTTCACGTAGCCTGTGCTTCTATGAACTACCCTTTTAATCATCAAGCCCTTAGCCATCTCACTTACATTTTCACTGTTAACATCTGCCTCACTGGGGCAGCCAAAGAGTTCCCGTCTCAGCAAATTCCCATCATACTCCAGGAATGTCAGGTAGAGGTTGCGAAAAAACTCCACGTGCTTGTTTTTCACTCGCAGCTTCTTTGGTGAGTTCCAGTGAATCACCTCAGAGGGGAAAAAAGAGAAAAGACATCCTGCTGTTAGAATCCAGATTTGCTTTACCTGCCCTCTTTCTGTCTGTTCAGTTTGCTGCCCTCTTAAAAACAGTAGAAACCTTAACACACAAACTGCACAGACTTCCTTCTGTCTTTTTATAGCAAAGGCTTTGCCACGTCTTCTGCAATAACTGCTTACTCTAGGGGTGATGTGCTTTGAAACACTTTCATAGGAGTACCTGTACGTTTGAGTGAGGGTCCTGCTCTAGCTTGTGAGGCTCAGAAATGCTTCCACAACTCTAACCATGCTGCTGATAGGTTATGGACTCTGCTGAAGAAGATGGAAGGGCGAGGGGCACAGGGATGTAGGTATTATACATTAATCTCCAATTTCCACATGACTGTTTCAGCTAATGAAACTGATGCACTGTCTCAGGCCAGGCACACTATTCTCTGGTTAGATATTGAAAAGAAAAAGCTTGAAATTAATTCTTATACCCATTTAAACAGTTCAAAAAGGACTGAATTTAATCTGACTTCCTTACCATTGCTTCCTTTAAACAAGGTTGGTCTTTGCTGCATTACCACAACATAGTCATGCACCACGATGCTGCACCCTTTGAATTCCAATTTCTAGCAGGTGTTTAACCTCTGCTAATGGCAGATGACCCTCATGCTGGCCTAGATTTAAACTCTGACTCTGACATAAAGGGCCTGATCCTCATTTACTTCAAGACTACTTTGCACTGCTGCCAGTGTGAACAAGAAGGGGCCTAACAGGGAAAAACTAACAGGGAGCCAAAAGTGACTTGCAGGAATGATTTCTTTTTATAGAGGCAATATTTTAGACATAAGAAAGAAACCACCAAATACTTTGCATTCAGTTTTATTCCTGTGACTTCTAAAGAGATTTACAAAGAAACCCTCTTCTTTGAGAATATTTCCAAGCTAGGAGTCCTGGAGGTTCTGTGAACCCACTAAGTTAATTGTGTGAAGACACTGTGTCACTCACACACAGCCACAGAGCTGCAACTCCAGCTGTTGAGCCGGTGGCATGGTCAGCTCTGCTCTGAACATGGCATTTGTGGGAGGGAACACACAGAGCTGAAGCTCAGCACACGGAACAGAACAGCCTTGAGGATGAACACAGTTCCATTGGTGTCAACAACACAACTCCACAGGAACAGGGAGCTCATGATGCCTGTTGCCCAATGAGTGAACTGGAGGAGGAAAGAGCAGGACACAGCCTGAATCCATCCTGTACTAACTCCAGCAAACAACACAGTCATTCCACTGAGTCTTTATACTGCCATAAAAGCTCTGACACTCTTTTCCACATACCCAACACCAATGAAAATATCTCCTCATAAGGAAAGCTTTATCCCTTCCTGGTATTTCACTGCTAAGGCTACTAGGATGTCAGAAAACCATACATGCAGTTAAAGAAAAGCAACTGCAGGGAAAAATATCATTTCAGAAATTGGCAAATTGTTTTTTCCAGTTATAGGAACACTTTAAATCAAGATTATGACACATCTACACACCTCATAAATTTGGGAAATTATTTGAACAAAAATACTCGATGTAGATATGAGTCCCAGGTAATGTTACATTCTTTGCTGATTTTACATTTGTCCATATGTTCAGAAGTGTAGCATAACTCTGCAGTGACATGTTGCAGCAACATGTGGTGAAAATACAGAATGTCACAGAAACGAAAGGAGCTTTAGGTAGGTAAGGGCATAAACTTAAGATGACAAATTTTCCCCACTGCAAAATGGATTTTCAAAATCCCCTTTCTTTGAAAAGAACTCAATGTATTTCATCCATTGTGTTTAACTGCAGCAAAAGGCTTTAATTCTTGAAAAAAAATCTCAAGGACTGAATCCTACCTGAGGGAAACAGCACACGTAACAGAATCATAGGGCTGAAGGAACCTAAAGGGCTGCTTAACAGTTTTACAGGGCACCAGTATGCATTTTTACAAGCAGGCATAGAATGGAAACTGTCTGCTGTAACTTGTACTTATTTAAGAGTGGATCAAAGAAAGCTAAGAAGCTGGAAAATAGGACAAAAAATACTTGTTAAGAAAAATCTTCTATGTGCTCTTTGTACTGCTCCTACACTTCATGAGACTTGCCTTTTGAATGTCTTCTTCAGCAGCATCCTAATGCTGCTGAACACTCTGACCACCCACCCTGGGGCTGGTGAGCACAGAGAAGGCTAATGATGATAACCTCAGTAAGTCTTCCAGGAATTCTCCATCAACACACATGGTGTCACATCACAGCCAAGCACTGGTGTTGATGCCTCTACCCAGTTGTGTGGGAGATGATGTCAAATCCAGACAACTACAGTTGTCAGTGTAGAGGCTCTTTGCTGCTGTGCTTCAAAATCTGTTGTGTGTGTAGAAGCTGCTAAGTGTCAAGGGCCTAGCTGGTGGTTCAGATCTGATCAGATTTGAAATGTGTCAGGATGCTGCATGTATAGTTGATGTCAGGGGAGCCTGGGGTGAACTGCAGAAAGCTGAATGGAGTTGATGACCATCCAAAAAAGCTGATTTTTTTAATCAAGAAAGACAGCACATGCCAATGTGTGCTAGAGGTGATGTGCTAAAGAACATCAACCATCTGGATGACCTGAGGTAGAAAAATCACAAAACAGGTCTAGCAAAAAAGCAGGCTGCTCTTCATAACGTGATTAGATAAATATTATGTGATATATGAAAGCACAAAAAAGAATAGCAGGTTACAAAAAGCAACAAGACTCTTAACCATTGATATAAAACACTACATCCAAAGATCATATCCTTTTTATGCTGTCAGCCCACAAATTCACCTTCAGTTATGAGTCTTCAAAATGGTCTATTGCACCATAAGCTACAGCAGAAATTGTGCAGGCCAGCACATTCTTGTATAGCCTGCCATGGGCATCAGTGAGGTACATGAAAAAGACAATGGGCTGCACAGGTAAAGCTATGGCCACTACATTAGAAACTTTATCGTGCACAACAGAGAACTGATTGGAGAAAGAAAAAATCAGTTGGCAGGAGACTACAGGGAAATCAGAAGGAAAAAAAGTCACTTTATTTGCAGACTGAGCAAGTGTTATCTCCACATTAAAAAGAGAAAGCGAATCTAGAAATTAAAAATCTCATTACTACAACATCCCTTTTCCAAGGCTGAACAGCACCATAATACTGTGTTTATTTCTTCTCCTATTTTCCCTCTGAGTTTCTAAGCTATTCCAAAGCTCTGTTGGCTTACAGAGGAAACTGCAGCTAGGAGTATAAAATATCAGTGCCATTATCTGGATAGACACCTCAGGAACATCCCTAGCCTTCAAGCTGTTCCACGGATCCTTCCTGCTCTTGATCACAGCCTTTTGAGAATTAAGAAAAAATACACTTCCTTAATCTTCATTTAGCAATTTAAGCACTGAAAGATCAGAACTTAAAATTCCACATCTATTTAACACTTGGTTAGTCGTCATTAAAGCAACTTGGCACTGTCTGCATTTCTGTTAATACCATCCTAGTTGATCAGCAACCGTTACCACTCACTGATTGCACACAGCTCCCGGAACACCTCCCTACGCTTGTGGCTGAGGAAACAAGCTAACTGCACCAATACTTCCCATTTAGTCAACAGGTTCTGACCCAAAGCACTCAAATGCTGACACACTTGGAGCCTCTTGGACTGGCAATGGGATCTGAGATGGAAGGTAAGAGAGGATGTTCTTTGCTGGTGGCATGTAGGGGAGGAGTCTAACATCAGTCATCTGAATGGAAATACACTGAAAATGAAAATCCTCACAATCCTCTTTAGGTTATCATCTACACTGTCCTCTCTGGGGAGATTAAATATTTCAAATCTGATGTTTGAACAACTAAGCTTCAATACAACATTATTTCTATAGGTACTTTTAACCATTTTTTCCCCTTGAAGTATTTTCTCTCTTAAAAAGAAGTATCCAATTAAATGTTTCCTTAACCACAATCTCTTAAATTTTTTCACCCTAAGACACATCTTGATAATTCCTCACTCTGCTTCAGCCCTTAAAAAATCAGAGAGCACAGGATATCCTGTATAACTACATACGTACAGGCTGAAGGGTAAGAAAGATGAGAAGAGGCTGAGGGAGCTGGGGGTGTTCAGCCTGGAGAAGAGGAGGCTCAGGGGAGACCTTCTCACCCTCTATAACTCCCTGAAAGGAGGTTGGAGTCAGGTGGGGGTTGGTCTTTTCTCCCAGGCAACCAGGGCAGAGGCTCAAGCTCTGTCTGGGGAGGTTTAGGTTGGATATTAGGAAGAGATTTTTTATGGAGAGAGTAATCAGGCATTGGAATGTGCTGCCCAGGGAGGTGGTGGATTCACTGTGCCAGGAAGTTTTAAAGATGAGACTGGATGTGGCACTTACTGCCATGGTCTATTAACCATGGTAGGGTTGGACTTAATGACCTTGGAGGTCTTTTCCAACCTGATTGATTCTATAATTCTATGAAATAAGAATAAATTAAGCTTAAATTTAAGGCTAAAGAAGTTTAATTTTACAAAGCACTGAACATATACCCTTAATTAAGCCCATGAGCACTTCACAATTTAGGTAAACAAGTGGTATTTCGTAAATGGGAAGCTTTCCTACTTGAAAACTAGACTCCTTTCTTAGGCAACCAGACACTTCCCACTGAAATCAACAGGAGTAAAGTGTTCAGCAAATCTGCACAGTAAAGTCACCTATATATGTCACTTTAATGCCATCTCAATAGGCTTTTCTTCAGGCACACATTATTGAGAAGTTTAAATATGCCCCAAGTCACACTGGAAACATGTACCACATGTGTAACTTATGACTTGATTAGAGATGCCAAAAAATTTAATTTTTAAACTGTGTTTTATTAGAAATGAATGGTTTAATAAAAGAACCAATTTTCTCCTAAAGATTTGCAAAATACTTTGCAAAAATGTCATCAGGGATGTTCCAGAGTGATATTTCTGAACTACATAAGTGGAA